GATGTGCCCTTTTTTGTGACAATTGTTGCAGGTGGCTCCCTTGAATTTGCAGGTGGTCCTCAGGTGAGATCCACCACAGGATAGGCACAGAGTGATGTGCTTGGATGGACTGACGCTTTCTTGCTTGGCTCCTACCTGTGGGTGCCTGGTGTGGGCTAGGCGGTGGATGTCGGCCGCATCACTGGGGTCCTCCTCGATGACTACCTCTTCAGAGTGGACGGAAACTGCAATTTGTTTGGAGACAGGACCTTGGATCTCGGTGGCTGAGTGTGCTGCCAGCTCCGCTGCCAGGGCTTCCTCGACGGCTTGAGTGAGGTTGAGGTCCTTCTTGGCGAGTAGGCGCCTTTGGAGGTGAAGATCCTTGACCCTGCAGACTAGCTGGTCGAGGAGCATGTCATCCAAGTAGGTCCCAATCCCACAATGGAGTGCTGCTGTTCTGAGGGCAGCCACGTACTGGTTGATGGTCTCTTTGTCTGATTGCTTCCTCATTCGGAAGGTGAACCGCCTGGCAATCTGTGAGGGTCTAGGAGAATAGTGGTTAGTAAGGATTTCTAACAGTTCTGTCCAGGGAACGTTTTTTAACTCACGTGGAGCCACGAGTGCTGTGGCAGTATCAAAGACGATGGCGCCACAGTAGATCAGGAAATATGATTTTTTCCGGTGCTCCCCTGCATCAGCCAGCCCTATGGCGTCGATGTAGTGGTTAAAACGATTCTTGTATGACTCCCACTTCTCCTCATCTGGCTTGAACGCTGGGAAAACTGGGTTGGAGTTCATGATGAGAATCTGTTGAGAAAATCTCTCTGAGGCAGCAGCAGGAAGGTTTTTGTGCCTCTGGAAGGCAAGTGACTTCAGCTCTGGGAGAGGTTTTCACAACTCTCTCCCTCTCTCTGGATTAACACGAGGTAGGCTGCGACGGCCATTGGCAGCGTTTTGAAATTCGCGCCTGCGTGGGTGTCAGTGACTTCGCAATACAGCACCGCGCTGTATTCTCGGGCGGAAATTCAAATGACAGCCGTTTGAATTTCGCGCCTAAGGAAACGAGCGGCTGCGGCTCGCAGCGCTACACTTTCCCTGTAGCTGGCTAACTAGCGGCTACAGACGCTTCTCACTCTCACTGCTTGCTGGCCGCTCTCTCTGGCTGCGGACCAGCGTTCGCTCTCGTTGCCTGCTGACCGCTTTCTCTGGCTGTGGATCAGCGTTCGCTCTCGTTGCTTGCTGACCGCTCTCTCTGGCTGCGGATCAGCGTTCGCTCTCGTTGCCTGCTGACCTCTCTCTGGCTGTGGATCAGCGGCTAGTGATTCAGCGGTTGCATTTTGCCTCTGGTCGCCATCCCACCTTCGTCGCCAGTGTTAAGTTCGGAAAATGAGAGGCTGAACCAGGGCATGGATGCAACGATACTTTATTAAAGTAATAAAGGACTGAACGTGCTAGCCAAGCCTGGAACTGGCTCGCA